GGGTAGAGGGTTTGGTAGTCGAGCTTTCTCTTTGTTTTGTTACAGTAGCTTTAGTACACCACTTAGTGTCTTTTGTATTTTTGCCTTTTTGGATTTCTGTTATTACTTGTGGTTGCCTTCGCTTCGATTTTAATTGTACTAGCTAGTGATAATTGTGTGTTTTCACTTGTTTTTCCGATTGGTTTGCTTGTCATTAGCCCTTCCCTTTATCTTTCCTAAGCCGAGGTAAGGGTGTTCATGGTTCGGTTTGGGTCGGTTTTCCCTAAAAAGAAACCAAACCAAGTAAGTCGTTTTTCAAATATTGGAATCAAACTAAACCAATTGAGTCGGTTTTTTATCGATTCGGTTTATGTCGGTTTTTCCTTATCGGTTTTTTTCTTAAATATGAGACACAACTACCAAACGCATATTCCGGCGACTACATTTTCAACGTAACACAATCAAATCAATTGCTCTTTGAGAAATATATCATTTTCAAGATATATTGATGATAGTTGAATCAAATGGTGATTAGAATTTAAGTACTCAATTAAAAATCGATTATTTTTAACATGAAATAAATTATTATACTTAGTAAAAGAAAACTACCAATCAAACTAGAATGTAAAGGCAAAGAATTAGATTATTATTATAGCAAAGAACTAGACTAAAAATACAAATGACTAATATGTACCATATAATTTTTGAAACTTTATATAAAAATATACATATATATAGGTGTAATAATAAATTTAAATAGCTATTTTTATAGTCGGTTTTGTTCGATTTTTTCGGTTATTTTTTGAGTAAAACCAAAACCAAACCAAATTTGATCGATTTTTAAAATTCAAATCAAAAATCAAACCAAACCTAAAAAGTATCGATTTTTTTGGTCGGTTTGGTTCGATTTACGATTTGGTTCGATTTTTCGGGTTCTTGAGAACACCCCTAGCCAAGGGTATACCGAAAACAGCTCATGCCTTTTATAGGTAGGGGTAAGATCTGTGTACACACTACCCTCCCCAGACCTCACTTGTGGAAATACACTGGGTTTGTTAATGTTGATGAAATTGAAAATCCAGCAAAAAAATAATTAAGAAAAACTAGGAAAAGAAAAAAAAAATAACTACGAAGGGCAGGGCGGGGGCGGGTGTGGATGTGGGCCGGGTGCAATTGCTATGCAGTGCGGGGCAAAGCGCGGGTTGAAAACCTTAGCGGGTTTGCCCCGCAACCACACCGCACCATTTGCGGTCCCTATCCGAGAATACAGCTTACTCAAACATTTCGACATTCCAAATTAAAACTATAATTCTTACAAAGGTATGCCTGATTGATAACTTCACTTGCTACAGATTGATTGCAACTGCTACCTCATGCCACCCAACTAGCACCCAGAAAATATTCACCCCATCATCTGATCAGTCAATCATCTTAAAGAATTTTAAGTAGCCATCACAATTTGGAAAACTGACACTTCCCTAAGCTAAATGCCAAACATTCAGACACAACAGAGAAATAGTTCGCATGATATTATGGTAAGCCATCAAAAGACTTGCATTATCTCACAAACAAAACAAAATTCTTGAATAAAGAGAAAAGCTTAAGTTCCTGAAAATGATTGCACCATAAACTTCATCACTCAATCCACCAGAAAGCTGATAATGCTTAACAGGCTACACGGCAGCTCTAATTGCTTATTTCTTCTCTTCCTTCTTTGCTTCAGCTGCTCTCTTCAACCTGGATCCAATGTGTCCTGCATTTGTACGCTCGATATGCAGCTTGCCATAGGCATTGAATGATTTCATCTCATCTGTGACCTTGACAAGGTCAACAGCTGGCTGCTCCCTAGTAATAGGCATGTATGGACCCTGGACCTGGGTGGCAGTAGCAAGTTCCTCTGCACTAGAATCACCAGCTTGCAAGAGAGAGTTCAAGGTAAATTTTAGGCATAATGTGTTCAGATGCCAAAGCAGGAATCCTGGTTGTTTTAAAAGGCGTTTTCGGGGCGAGGCGTACCAAAAACGTCCCGGGGCGATGGTGTGGGGCAAAAGTCTCAAGAGGCGTACGCCCAGCAATTCGGGGCGTACGCCCAGGCGTTTGAGGCGCATTCTTTTAGTGAGGAGTAAGCACCAGAGACTTTTTCAAATTAAAACAAAATTTGTTGAATAAGTCCTTCATATAATACCCAAATTCTAAAAGTCAGTTTGGTAATTACTCAAAAGGTTTAAAAAGGAACTCAAAAGTATTAAATTTAAAAGTCAAGACCTTTTTATTGATTGAAGCCCTAATTCATGGTCTTTCCCAATTCTTTATCTTGTCCGCTAGTCTGCTAATATCTCCCAAAAGTAACGAATAATTTTTTTTTTTTACAAATACAAAAATAACTCCATTCTCCTTCATAGCAGCAAATTCAAAGTTCAAATTGCAGGTTAATCATCCTTTTTGTTCCTCCACGTAGAAAACTTTATTCTTTTAGACTTAAGTTACTTGTGCTTGTAAGTAGCGTATAATAGATTGTTTTGACTAGTTTTTTGTGGGGATGGAGCGCGCGCGCACACACACACACATATATATATTTCACATATTTATAGTTTTCTTCAATTTTTATGCAATTTTACTTGTTTATAAATATTTACTGTCATTATATTATTTTATAAAATATTAAAAATTAAATACCTATGGGCTTACGCCCCGTGCCTCGGGGCTTACGCCTCGCTGAGGCATATGTAAAATGCCTCGCCTTACGCCCACGCCTTTTAAAACACTGTCCGAACTAGCAAGGCAAATAATAATTATTTTCAAATTTACCTTGACTTTCTTAGCACGTCTAGGAAAGATGACAAGCTTAGCCTTGTAAGTCTTGAGCCTCTGGACATTTGTTTGGAGACCTTCCAAGGATCTATTCCTGCGGCGATGATCAACAGCAATGCCGATGGTTGGTGCTAGTTTCTTGGGAACACCAGCTGCCTTAAATCCGAAGCTACTTATTAATGGGGGAAATCAAACGTACAAGTGCTTCAAAATAATAGGCCGTTTAAATATAAGTATACGGATAGCGAAGAACATGACTAACAAATAGAATTTCCATTTGTACTCAATGGGATGGCTTTTGTTCTTTTCTATGGGGGACAGGGTGGTGAAGAGGAGTAAATGACATTCAACAAGTAACTAGAATCTCACTTTCAGTTCTTCAAGAGAAAATCCCCTCCCAGCATGGACTTTCATGTTGTATTTAAGTGTTTGTCCATGAACAATTGAAGTGATCCCACAGTTGGCCTAGGGAAGATCTTCACAGCCTTCTGCTGCGTAGCTGAAGACAACAGAATAAAGACAGGTAGGAAAATGTTAATACTGTTCAACAAAAATTGATTTTCAAAAAGAAAAGAATCATGCCAAGTAGTTCAACAAAATGGTAGCTTACCAGCACGTCTCCTTGTTTTCCTAGCTGGTTGGTTGAACCAAGTCCTTGCATAGTTTTGCCAATGCTTCTTGAAGTGCCCATTGGGTATAACGTTGTTGTGATTCAAGTCTTACCTGAAATTGAACAGAAATGGAATATCTCAAACAAACATCACAAGCTGCTCTTGTGAACTAACTAGCATAAAACTCACTTGTCTTTCCACTTTGTACTTTTGTGAACTTTGATTTTGTATTACCACAACAACAACAACATACACAGTATATTCCCACATGTGGGGTTTGGAGAAGGTAGTGTGTACGCAGACCCTACCCCTACCTAGTAAAGGTAGAGAGGCTGTTTCCAATAGACCCTCGGCTCATAAAGGTAGGAAGGAGGAGAAGAAGAATATGCAGAGGGAGAAAAAGAAGAAGAAAAAGAAAGAAAGAGGAGGGAAAGGTGGGGAGAAAAGTATTAGTACCAAAATAGTGACAACAGGAGAAAACAAACTTTGATTTTGTATTGTTCAAAGAAAATTAAACTTTAATGAAAATCTAATCAACTCATGACAAACAATCACTCATAACAGTTCATAAATGTGCAAGTCTAAATATTCAAACATGTGCTCTTCGTCATCACTAAATAGTAAATACTATTCATATGGCATTACACTTCTCTTAACAGCCTCTTTCACAAGAATAGGCATTCGCATATAGTTGATCTTTTTCAAGTTCTTTTGTTATTTTCTCCATGAAATGCATTAACTTCACTTTGGAGAGATTCTAAACATGCCCTTTTACTTACTTAATTTTCTACCAAGAATCGAGTTCACAGAAAAAACCCAATCCACTGTCGGCTGGTAGTAAAAGTTCCATTTTTGATAGCACAAACTAGTCAACAACCAGGAAAAGCCACACAAACCAAACCCAAAAAAAAAAAAAGGTTAGATTCCCAAAATCCAGGTTTTAGATACTGTATAAAAAGGAGATATAGTCCAATAACACCTCCAAATTCGTCCTACAATTGAACAAAGACTTCGCAAAACACCCTGATTTCAACATTTATTAAATTTTGCAAGCTTACTAAGGCATAACCATAAGCAAATCATATTATATCATAACTAACAAAACCGAGACACTACAAATAAACGCAAATAAATCCAAAATTCTCAGTTAACAAATACTCTAAAAGGGTCTGAACAGACGACGATTCAGAAAATCTTTCAAAAACAACTTCATACCAATAGTACAAACAAAAGCCTATTCGCTATTTGTCATTNATACAAACTCAGTAACACATAGCTTGCAGATTCAAGTGAGGAAAATAACAAGCATTAATAAGATTGGAAATAAAGAGAGATTATTCATAAAACCTTAGGGATGTTTTAAGGAGAAAGACTGAGACATACCTGGTTAGCTAGTGCCTCTGGAGGCTATGGAATTACAAAGGCGAAGATAGCGCTTGGTTCTTTGCTTTTATAGGGCTGAACGAAAAACCCTAGGTTTTAAAGGCTTTAAAGCATGGATCACTCTGTTCAACCTGGGAACACAGTTTAGAAGTATATAGCGACAAATAAATAGCAGTACAGTCGCGGAATAAATACAGCTTTTTGAACAGGCGACGATTCAGCAAATTTTTCAAAAACAACTTCATACCAATAGTACAAACAAAAGCCTTTTCGCTATTTGACATTGTGGATAATCGATATTACATCAGATGCACTGTAAATTGATAAGCGGGAAGCAGCCTACTCCATGTACTACGACAGCTAAAGGCCACCAAAACCTGCAGGGACTATTTATTTAAGTAGAAAGGATTACATTCTCTGTAAACATTTAAGACTAAATAACTCATCGCATTCCAAATCACCGCACATATTGATCATCCAATTAGCAATTAGATGCGCCGCTTCTTTGGGAGGCGGCATCCATTATGGGGACGTCGTGTTGTGTCCTCAATGAATACCACAGGATTCTTATCTCCACGAGAATGAGTATAGCCCTCTCTGAAGCTTAGAATTGCTTGTTTCTTTTTCTTAAAGAAAGTAAAGCCATTTACTTTCATGACCACTGACCTCAAGCCCCGGTCTCTGGCTTCACGCCCAACATGTTCTGCAGTTGATTCAGCAGCGTATCTTGCAATTTTCGTTCCTTTTCCTGTTATCTTACCTGCAGTAGCCCCAAACTTTTTATTCCCTTTTGAATCCGTCACAGTAACAAAGGCGTTGTTGCGAAGAACCTTTATATGAACAATATCAGCATCCTGCTCGACATGATACCTAGAAAGTGGAGCATCACCCAGAATACCCCTCGTATTGTCCTCCGTAAGTCCTCTAACAAAGTCCATTGGTCTAGAATTGTTTCTCATCTCAGCTTCCTTTGGGCTTTCAGAATGTATGAAACACCTCCTCCCAGCATTATATGGTGAATAAACATTCATTCCCAAGTCAGAGTGCTGATTACTGCATATTTTTCTTTCAGTCTTCCCTTGAATACCTGCAGCAAAATGAACTATTGAGCCAAAAGTTCAAGAATTACTGCTGATCTAAGACCAGAATAAGAGACAAGGGCATATGCATGGCAGGTATACACAATACTGTTTTGCAGATGCATACAAAGAAGCTGGAAAAAACCAAGTAAGAGAGATTCCTGGATCTACTAAATACAAGTGAGATAGGCATTGTAATATATTCAAACACATCCACACAATTATAAATCACAAGGTTCTACCACTGCTGGATACAATTAACTTTCTATTACTCAAGAGGTTAGTAATGGAAACCCTAATTGCAAAATCCAGAAGTTCTGCTCCACCTCCTTAGAAGTTCCCTTATAAGGTTGATGGAAGCATTTTTCTGATCTAAGACCAGAATAAGAGACAAGGGCATATGCATGGCAGGTATACACAATACTGTTTGGCAGATGCATACTAAGAAGCTGCAAAAAACCAAGTAAGAGAGATTCCTGGATCTACTAAATACAAGTGAGATAGGCATTGTAATAGATTCAAACACATCCACACAATTACAAATCACAAGGTTCTACCACTGCTGGATACAATTACCTTTCTATTACTCAAGAGGTTAGTAATGGAGACCCTAATTGTAAAATCCAGAAGTTCTGCTCCACCTCCTTAGAAGTTCCCTTATAAGGTTGATGGAAGCATTTTTCTTTCTCCCACACTTGGAAGAGTAACAGAAAAATCCAACAGGGCAGGGAAAACCAATAGAGCAACATATAAGAGAGTCAATTTCAACAAGTTCCCCTGATGGAAAGATTTGACAAAATACTATGTGGGCAACCAACAAGAAAATTTATGATTTTGAAATGCTTTTTATTTTTAAAAAAAGAAAGAGAAATAGAAGGAAGGATTATCCTTAATGTTTTATTTCTCTTACCTACTAAAGCAACAAAACAAATAAAACGAAATCACGGCAGGTAAGCAATGGGGTCTCTAAATGTTTTTTACATGTTCTTATATGGAAAAACTACTCTAGATGGTCTTGTGTCTTCCTTGCTGTTGCAGGACTTCTGTATCTCTTTATAATCCATATATTGATAGAAAGAGATGAAACACAAATAACGCTAGTCTCCTATCCTTTTTCTTTTTTTGTGAATGTAAGTAGCTTGTAAATTGAAAAGGAGAAATTGCCTAACACAAGCTGGTGCTAAGTCTCTACAAGTTATCAGGAGGCCTTCCACACAAAACAAAAAGGAAGGAATTCTGCAGTGACAAAACTATGCTTGCAGGGAAATCAATGAAATCTAACATACTTTCCCTCATATGTATGTTATCTTTCATCTTCGAACCCCTAAACTCTCAAGCGCTCAGCTGAACTCTTCCATTTACTTGGATCAAAATTTATCCATAACATTTGAAAAAAATTCAAAAATCCGCAAGCAAAAAAAAAAAAACCCAACTATCATCTTCCATTTTGATAGTCTAATTTAATAAATTAAACTTTTGAGTTCTGCCCCCTTATACTATCTTTTGTCCTCCTCAGACTGTAGCTTTGAGAAGTCTTTGTTATTAAAGAGAAATATGAATAGTTTACCTACAATTATGCAATCTCTAATCCTCTGATATAATTTTAATAAAAGTCCGCATGGAGAAGCTTTCACTCTTCGACTGAGATTCGAATAACCAAAAAAGGTAATGACTTACCCTACAACTTTGAGACTATCAAAGCACATGATTCAACTTATATCAAGCATAAGTTTTAATCTTTGCATAAATAAAAACGGTATTTATAAAACCATTTAAGTACTATTCACTAAAGGTAAAAGATTTTAAGCTCGCAACCATGGAAAGAAAATTGTAATGGTTCAAAATAAACTCCAAATACACACACTTTCAATAACAAAGATATGCAACTTAATGAAGACAAGTACGAATCATTTAATAGTACCCACCATAATTTGGAAATGCAGAAAAGGTCCTGAAAGCTTGAGGATGATGAGAAGAATGTAATTTGAAAGCATTGGCAGCCCATAAGACACTGCGTATAAGTTTCATCTTGCCTGTAACACTATGCAAATCACTTCACCTTAGCATTTATTTTGACCCAAAAATAAACCAGTTTAGTACAGATAATAAAAATGAAAATTAAACTTAGTCAAAATCTAATCAACTCATAACAAACAATCACTCATAAAAATCCATAGATGTGCAAATCCAAATATTCAAACATGTCCTCTTCGTCGTCACTAAATACTATGCATCTGGCATTACACATCTCTTAAGAGTCTCTTTCTCAAGAATAGACATTCACATATAGTTGATCTTTTTCAAGTTCTTTTGTTATTTTCTCCATGAAATGCATTAACTTCACTTTGAAGAGATTTTAAAAATGCCCTTCTACTTACACAATTTTCTACCAAGAATCAGTAGAGGAAAAAACAGAATCCACTGCCGGCTGCTAGTAAAAATTCCATTTTTGAAAACATAAACTAGTCAACAACTGGGAAAAGGCACACAAACCAAAAAATACGTATTGTTAGAATCCAAAAATGTAAAGGTCAGATTTATACCAATTATAGGTCACATAAATCAAAAACATATCTAACCAAATACTGTGTAAAAAAGGAATATAGTCCAAACACACCTCCAAATTCCTCCTACTATTGAACAAATTGGCAAAACACCCTGATTTCAACATTTATTCATAAGGCAAAACCATAAGCAAAATTGTACCAACTTATGTGAACCCATTTGACCAGGCACGGAATTTAAGAGAAGAGAGAAACTTTTGAACTCGTGGCGTAAAATGAGTTCCATATATTTTGTGTGGCTATGAATAATTTAGGTAAATTGTTTTCAAATAGGGAAAGGAGTAATTCTTTTTTGCACGAACTAAAAAGGAAATAGGTTCTCATAAATTGAAACGGAGGGAGTAACTAACAAAACTGAGACACTACAAATAAACGCAAATAAATCGGAAATTCTCAGTTAACGTTCTACTCTAAAAGGGTTTGAAAACCCCCACAGAAAAGATTAGGTTCATTAACCGAGACACATTTGCAAATACAAATTCAGTAACACATAGCTTACAGATTCAACCGAGGAAAATAACAAGCATTAATAGGATTGAAAATGAATGACAGATTATTCATAAACCTTAGGTATTTTTCTAGGAGAAAGACTGAGACATACCTGGTTAGCTAGTGCTTCTGGAGGCTATGGAATTACAAAGGCGAAGAAAGCGCTTTGTTCTTTGAGATTTCCGAATGGGCTGTTAAATGGGCCAGATCGCTCTGTTCGACTTACAGTTTTCATACTGATGCTAAAAATTGCATATAAGCTGGGTGAAATTCAAAATAGCTAGATTTACAAGCGTTAATTGAAAAATAGCCGCAGTTTTAAAAGTAATCAAAATTTAGTCACGATAAATCTTAACGAAAATATTGTTCAAAATTCAGAAAATATTCTAACATAATATATTAGAGTTCCAGTATAATATACTGGAGTTTCAACATAATATACTAGTATACACATATGCTCCAATCTTCAGTATATTATGCTGGAATTTTTTGTGTGTTGGAGTTCCAGCATAATATGCTGTAAATTTATACATAGGTGCACTAATCTCCAGTATACTATGCTGGAATTTTCCATATTGCAGCAAAAATAATGGCTATTTTTCAATAACTTTGCAAATACTGACTATTTTTTAATTTTCAGTCCGAAAACTAGCTAACCCGTGCTATTTTTACTTATAATTTAAGCTGAGGTAAATAGGCCCAGTTCACTCTATTGGACGGACAATTTCAATTATGGCACGTAAGAGTCTGTGAACCTATTTAAATACTATCTCCATTAACTTAGCGAGCGAAATTTGTCCGTGAAAAGTAAAGATTATCCAACTACTTTTAAGGGGTCGTTTGGTTGGGAAATAAGTTATCTCATGATTAATTTCGAGATTAGTTATCCAACCCTCCCATGGGGATAGAAAAGTGCTACAATCCCGAAATTATGATTTTATCACAACCAAACGTGAGATAAATATATTTCAAATTTAATTCCGAAATTAATTATCTCTTATACCCAACGAGCCCTAAAGGTAAAATTAGCCACCGGACAAGCGGAGAAAAATTAAGGAGTGACCTCTAAAAGGCCATATTATGTAAATAATCCCATTGAGTCCTGTCCCCTTTGTTGGACTAAAAGCTACAACTTGGGTGATTGGGCTGCTTCTGCCCATTTGAGTTGATGAAGCACAAAACTACTCGAATCCAATAGAAATTGGAATTTTTTTCTATATATACAAAATTAGGACAATATTTATCTGGTTTTGCTAGGTTTTCTCTTATAAAAAGTAACTAATTTTTTCACAAAATATATACAAATCCGATCAAAAGCTATAAATTTACATACAATTGGTATATAACTTTTCATCGTACAAAATTCAGGCAATAGCTACAATTTACATATAACTTATACACGATCTGTAATATATTATTGTGTCAAAAGCTACAACTTACCTCCAACTTATATATTATTATGTTAATTGTATATATATTTATATGTTGTTTGTACACCTACAAAATATATACAATTTCCGTATGTCTTATTCTTCGACTTTCAATCTGAAATTCTAACCCAAATCAATTTCAATATTCACCAAATTCCCTCAAAATTGAGATATAAATATCTAATTTTTTAATTTTTTTGCTATTTTAAAGTACAATAGTCGAATTCAAAACTTCAAATCTTTTTAATGGATATCAATAGAGTTTAAACTCCTAACTAATAACATAACTTCGATTTTGAATTCAAAGCTTCAATACTAGCTACTACCATTCAGTTGCTGCCTATGATCCATATGACGTCTAATAACAGAACTCTTTCGGTTTCTTCAGGTAAAACAAATTCCACACACGAGAAGCAATTCAGGATCTTTCAAATTTTGGTGCACTTGGCTTTTACACCTTTTAGGACTTGGTGGAGAGATTACTTTCTTGGCACATGTGGCAATTAATTTTGGACAAGAGTAAATCATTTGTTGAATTGGGTGGAATGGGGAGAAAAAATAGAGAAAAATTGGGAAGGATTGGAATCTAGTATATATNGTGATTACCTTTAGGAATCCTATTAGTACAATTACTTTCGGGCATAGACATATAATACTACAAGTTAGCAATCATGGTAGTGTTAGAATTCAATCTCATTATCTCGAAATTACCTCTGTGGATACTATAAACATGTCAAAAAAATGATGCGTCTAATTAAAGCAAAAAAAGAAGAAGTGAATATGTATTAATGATTTGATGGATAGTTAGGAAACCAATTTTTAGAAGAAAAGATATACGTTAATAAATAACTCAATACATTACCACTCTATAATATTGCATACCAAGAAAAAATAAAAGTAACGTTAAACGGACTGCATAAAGTATTGAAATTGAGAAAAACATCCTACGATAATATATTATTATATAATATTTGAACTGCTTTCCTACTCAAATAATATTTTTTATTATTAATTTTTCGTAAAATATAAAAAAATATACCAAATTATTAAAGAACAACTAAGAAAGTTTTTAAGAATATAAATGTGTGAGAAAGAAAAAGAAAAAGGTTGGTACGAGTCAATACCACTAATAATTTTGCAAACATAAAGATCTAAAAATGGAATGTCATATCGATATTTTTACTCTTTGAAAATAAAATGTATGATGGATAAAACTATAATTACAGTTAAATATTCAAACATGAGATGAACTAATATTAAGAATCTGAATCAACAGAAACTAAATTATTTTTTATATTAAAACGAAATAATCAAATCTTTCAATTAATTATTTAGCAAGAGAATCCAATTAATATTTTTTAAAAATTCATCATATGAGTAATATTATTTTTCAAGTTAAAACAAAATCTTATGGTACATAACTTTATTCCATAAAAAAGTGTTAGAGATTAAAAGGTTTAGATCATAAAGTAAAAAAATAGTATAATATTAAGAAGGCCATACAAGTATTTAAGAAAGTACAATTAAAGCTAAATTCTGAACACGAATAAACTTTCAAGACTATATTATAAAAAGTCGACTCTGGTATAGCGAGATTATTCTTTGTAGTTGCCTCCGGCGGAATCGAAATAATATTCCGATGTCATGCATTACTTGCAAATTGTTAGATCAAGATGCATGATATGTTAGCAATAAGAACAAGTGATGTACCAACAACTATTTTATTATGAGGTCATACAACTCACTTTTAGATTCGATATTCCTCTTCAAATAATTGAAATAACCATCACAAATATATCAAAGCAAAGCAATAGTGCTAAATTTATAAGGAAAGAAAAAGTGATAATATGGGATGAAGTGCTTTTGGCTAAGCGTCAAACGATCGAAACAATCGCCCAGAGTTTTAGAGATATAACGGATATCAATGAATCGTTTGGTGAAAAATTAATAGTTTGGGAGGTGATTTTTGTCAAGTATGATCAGTAATTCCAACATTGACGAAAGCAAACTTGCCGAAATTATATTTATGGCCTCAATTGAAAAATATTCAAATGACAAGAAATATAAAAGTAAGAACCGATCCAGCATTCAGTGACTTCTTGCTTCGTGTCAGAAACGAAAAAAGAGCATCCAATAAAAAATGATTTGGTTCTTCTATAACACTTGATTATCTACCCCAATGGAAATAGTAGTTCAATTAATAAGGAAAATATTTTCATCATTAGATTAAAACGTAATTTGTGCAAATTACACGATAGAGATTAAAGAGCTGTCTTAGCTAGCAGAAATGAATATGTTGATCAACTAAATAAAAGGTTGATTACTAAGTTTTATGATAAAAATAAAATATTTTTTAGTTCTGACTCAACAGAAGATGATACCAACAATTACAACCAAGAAGAATACTTAAATACTTTAATACAGAATGGTCTTCTACTGTATATGTTTGTTGTCAAGTTCATTGTTTCTTACGTATGTTAGTGTCACCATATATATAATAGACTAAGTTAAAATTGATCTTCCATTGCATATAGGTTGATTTTGAAGAAAAATATGCCTGCCATGCTACTCAAAACTTAGATCTGTTGAATAGCTTATGTAATAGTACACATATGGTATATAGAAGTTTTGACAATATCGTTATACATGCAGAACGTATGATACTGGTCAATGTGCTTCTAAGTATGTGTTTATCCCCGAATTCAACTTTCGTTTTCCGAAATAAAAGAATATCCTTTTAAATTTGTGTGAAAATAATTTTTAGTATGTTTATTTTTTGTAGTTATAATAAATAAAGCACAAGGACAAACATCTTAAATATTAGACTATATTTACAATAATATATTTTCTTACACGAATAACTATATGTTGCACTTTCAAGAGAGATATCAATATCGACAACAAGAGTTCTGGTTATGGCAGAGCAACCAAAGCACTAAAAGGAAACATATACAAAAAAAATATCGTCTATAAAGAAGTGTTCGGTAAGATACCATCACATTAGATACCTTTAAACTATAATACATAATTATCTATTTAACATGACTAAAATTGATCAAATGTGTAAGTTCTGATGATGTCCATTCAATTTGAATTCACGTATTATGCTAACGTAACAATATTTTTGGCACTTAGATGATTGTTGTATTATTATATATAAAATTTCTCTCATTAA